AGGGGGCCCCCATACCACAAAAAAAAAAAAAAAAAAAAAAAGTCACTGACATATGAGTCCACACAAAAGGGATACAACATAGAAGCATACACAAACGTGCACAGTAAAAACACAACCATGCATGAAATGATAAATGCCAAATCTGAGATGGAGCCACCTCTGAGGAAAGAGAAAGGAGAAACCGGGAAAGGCACAGAGAAAGTTAACTCTGTATAATGCAGTCTTTCTTTAAAAAAAGACCTGTTATAAATAAGACAAAAAGGTTAAGATTTGAGGAGGGTAAGTGGAGGATGTTGGTTACATCATTCTCTAAAACCTGCCTGTGTGTTAGAAACAATTCTTTTAAAAATGCCAAAAATAAAAACGAAGAGAAAAATGATAATTTATAGTAACTGCTACAAAGGGGAAGAATAAAAGAGTGACTGTAGCAGAGTAACAAAACAGACACAGTTCAGACTGGGAGTCAGGACAGAACTCTCTGAGAGTGACACTTACACAGGGAAGTGAAGAAAGAGTCCATAAGGATGTCCACCCCGGTAGCACAGAAAGTGCAACGGTCTTGAGGCGAAAGGAAAGGTGTGCACGGCTGTGAGCACCGTGAGCCCCCAGGGAGCCAGGGCAGAGAGTGTACACGTGTGGCTGAAGCCACTGCAGGATTTTAAAGCACAGAAGCAACAGGACACAACCTGTGCCTCAGAAAGATCCCTCTGCTGCTTGCTTTGTAAAGACTGGGGGAGGTAAAGCAGGAGAATCAGAGAGGCTGTGCAGGGCCCAGACAAGAGATGATGGCTAACATTCACTCGGTGGCAATGTAAGGAGAAAAGTAAAACCGGACTCGAGTTACATTTTCAACAAAGACTAACAGACCTTAGTGCTAAAGGGTTTAAGGAGGAGAGGCAGAGAAGGAGGCATAATGTCCAAAATGAGATCAGATGAGCTCGTAAGGCAGGTCTGAAATTTAATCCTGAATTTCCTAGTTCCCACAACAATGTAGAACTCACTATGAATTACCTAATTTGCAGAGTCTATAATATGAAAACAAACCAGCAGTTGTGAAGAACAGCTATTCCTGGTAAAGAAATTTCACAAAAATATCTTCCTCATAAAGGCAAAGTTTTATGTCATAAAAGAAATTCCCTAAACAATATCCCTTCTGTAAATTCAAACTGTTTTGTAATCCTGCTTCCATCACATCTCTTAATATTACTGACACAGAAATAGTTAAGTATGCACGCTGTAATTTCTAGAATAACCACTGGAAGAACAGAAACAATGAAAAGAATTGAGAATGGCCATTTCAAAAGTAGGCAAGAAACAAGAAACACGTGTAAAAATAGAAACCACAAGATAAGATGACTATACACCTGAACGTATCAACACGTTGTACAATAAATGTCCATGGACTGATGCCCTAGCAGGCAGGGCAGGGAGGACTCTCAGGGCCCAGCACCGGCTGGTGCACCGCACGCACCGCACACACCGCACGCAGGGAGGTATGGGAGTGGCCCAGCAGGTCCAGGGCTGAGATGCCCAATAGTGCTCCTCCAGTCAGGGTCATGCTTTTGTCTGGTGCACCCAGCAGGGAGGAGCCAGCCCACCTGGAGCCCTGGGGTGGGGTGGGGGCCGGACAGCCAGCTGTGTGTCCAGGACCCAGCCTGCTGCTGGAAGTGTGCTTTCACACAGGGGGACTGAGCACATGCAGGTAAACACACTGGGCAACAGAAGGCAGGTTTCTCACTGCTGAAGGCAAGAACTACAAGCACAGAAAGGATGAAATCTGAAAAACACCCTGCAGTGTTGGAACAGAACTGGAGATGATGGTATAAACTCATGGTGTGGGATGGATGATGGACGGAAAAGAAGGAAAGAGGGAGGGAGGAAGGAAGGCTAGCTGTACAGATGTGACACCTGGGCTAAAACTATAAAGAAAAAGTGACAGAACACAAAAGAAATGCTCCAGATGTTAATTACCATTGCTGGGGAAAGGGAACACGGACGGGATGAGTAGGCACACACAGAAGTTAAGGTAACATTCTGCTCCCATGACAGATGATGTTCATGCTACTATCATCACGTTATCATGCTTCCTAACACGTATTCTGCATGGGAGGGTGCTCTCAACATGGCACCTCAAGAGCCTTCACTTCAAGTTCTAGTACTCGTATGAACCTAAGACTCGTACTGGAAATTATTTCCGCTCACTTCCTTCTGTGAGTCAGGCAGAGCACATCATTTTGATTTATTTGCTTTCAACAACCATGCTCAACCACGACTGTCTGTTCCCGTAGAGACATACTTGTTCCTCAAAGAAAAACCTCCTCTTCATGAATATCCATCCTTTTAATCTCACCAATGTACCTTAACCCTAAAGAAAAATGTTAATTCAAAGAGAAATAATGACTTTCTTATCACCAAATAAGGATTCAGCTGAAATATGACTACTGAAGCAATTAATAAAACCCTCACCTCTATCTAGGCTAGTACATAAAGGTTCTTAAGGAAAGGTCCATTCAAAAGAGAAAAACAACATGAGATAAACTGTTTTAGACTTTCCGCTAAACAAAGGTCCTTTTGTTGTTGTTTTAACATTCTCCTGACTATATATTTATAGGTTATGTAAGAATAAAATGACTACTTTAACTTACCATTCCACTGGAATTATTTATTCCATTCATATTAATTTTGGTTACAAATCTAACTGATGGAGGTGCTTCTGGGTATTTAGGTCCACATTCTACTTTCAGGCTATATATTCTGTTTTCATAATTTGTCTGGAAGGCAAAAATAATAGTAATAATATTGAAGTGCTAATCAAGAGGGAAAGTACAATATAAATGTACTTAATATTACCACTTGTATGATCAAGAATTTACTTTTCTACGAATTTATTTGATCTATATGGCTAGAAAAAAGGCAGCAAGCACACTTAAAAGTAGAGATTTTACAAAATTAAATAATTCTACAAAGTAATATCAAAATGATCAGAACTTGCTTTTGTGGTACAGACAATGCCTATAACAAATTAAAAGGAAAAAACAGACCACTTAAATTCAGATTTTACTAAAAAGTCCATACTGTGTCACACATACACAAAGGTTCCCATTTTTCCAGGACAATTCTGTTTATTCTTACTGCTCCTGTATTAATTATTAATAATACTTCATTTCATTCTCAAAAGGGTCTGGCTGGACAATAAATTATATGGTTACCCCATTTATACAGCAATCAATATACCTCCTGGCATAAACACCATACACTACACCACTGTCCAGCACCAGAACAATTCATTCACGCCTCGTTAGTGACATTCAATTGCTACTTCATTAATTTTCTTGCCCAGTAAGTTCCATTATCTAAATTCAGAGATGCAAGAGCCAACTTTTATTTTTCCACATCATTTAAAAACAGGGTTTCTTAATCGAGAAGTTGAACATCACCATATTAGAAAACAGCCATTTTAAAGCTACCAGACTTAATGCTTTTAGATTTTTCAAGGCTTACTTTCATGCCTATAATTAACTCTTCTTTACCCTTATGGCTTCTGTTCACTAGGTAAACTTATTAGTGTTCAATTAAAACAAGAAAGTAAAAAAAAAAATGGAAGTGACAAATTTAATACCTGTTGATTCCTGTATAAACATGGGAAAAAGGAAGTTAACCATCCATAGATTTCACTTACCCCAACTGATCCACAGCTTCCTCTCCCTTAAGTAAGAGTTCTCCCAAGTGGAGGTCAGGTCTGGGTTATTATGAAACTACCGTAATTTAAAATGTACACAACAATCTTGTACATATATTATTAAATATTTCAATATTTTAAAAAAGAAACAGCTGGATAAAACTCATCCAAGTTTAACAGCAAACATATATTAACAATATGCCCAGGACCTGGAGAGGTTTAAACAGGACTAAAGGTCAAGGAAATCATCTGGTCTGTCGTTCTCCAATCACATGCACAGCAGCCTCTCTAGAAAACTTGCGTTAAAAATAATAATAATTTTTTTTAAATGATACAAATGAACTTATATACAAAACAGACTCACAGACATAAAAAGCAAACTTATGGTCACCAAAGGGGAAAGTGGCAGGGGGAGGGGTAAATTAGGAGTTTGGGGTTAACAGACACACACGACTATACATAAAATAGATAACCAACAAGGACCTACTGTAGAGCACAGGGAAAACGATACTCAATATTCTGTAATAACCTACCAGGGAAAAGCATCTGAAAAAAAATAGATACATATGTATGTATAACTGAGTCACTTTGCTGTGCACCTGAAACTAACACAACATTGTAAATCAACTATACTTCAATAAAAAAAGAAATAAAAGGAAAAAAAATTTTTCTTACATAGCCCATGAGAAATTCCATACTGTTAAAAATACTCAAAGTACATGGAAACAACTAGAACTCTCATACTTTGCTGGTTGTAGGGAATGGTATAACCATTTTGGAAACAATATGGCATTTTCTTATAAAGATAAATAAGCACACACCTCCCCTACCAAGTAGGAATTCCATTCCTAGGCATTTTATCCAAGAGAAATGGAAACAAACCTATGTTCACAAGAAGACTTGTAATCACAGCAGCTTTACTTGTAATGGGCAGGGAGTACTGCAATCAGGAGAAGCGATAAGCACACTGTGGCATCTCTGTGAAACACACCACTACCCACTTCATGGAACAACACAGCTGATCCCGAGACATTATATGCCAAGTCAAAAGAAGCGGGCCTCTAAGCACACACACTGCACGATTCCACTGGCACAAAGTCCTACAACACACAAGACTACTCTAGCGGGTAGGGAGTAGTGACTGGGGCAGGGCGGGGAGGGGCACAGGGGATTTCTGGCGGCACAGACATGTTCTGTATCTCAACATGGGTGCGGGCAACAAGCTCCATTTGTCGAAAACCATGGTAATATCTATGCATTTCACAATATGCAAATTATACCTCAATCTAAGCTAGCCTACAATGATTAAACATCCTAACTTTTGGTACCGTGGATTAATTTCATCACCCCTGAATTTTAAATTAACAGCCAAGTCTTTCTGTTGTCTAACAAAAGAGTGACAGAAAAGAGAGTAGTAAAAGGAACTAATGTTTATTAATTATGTACTACAGATACTCTCTTATTGTCTAATTATTAACTCATTTAATTGTCAAAACTTCTAAAGTATACATATAAGGAAACTTGGAAATGCTACTAAACATCTAATGCTAAAAAATACTGCTTAGAAAATTTAATACACAAACATATATGGAAAAACAAAATCGCTAATTATATAAATCCAAATAAATAGTGGAAAAACATAAAAGACCAGGCATCTTAGTAACATATAAAAAAAATATAAAAAACCAAGAAACAACTAACCAAGTAACAGAATGCTGAGGTAGGAATTCTCCTATTACCCTAAAGCTGGGGACAAAACTGTTCTGAATCTGGCACCTTCCAAAGAAAAACCAACTAAGCCGAGATGCCACCCCTGCAGGTTTTATTAAAAGGCAGCTGAGCAGCTGAATGAGTGCTGGGACCGCCCACTCTCACCCAGCCCCCCAGGCCTCAGCAGGCGGGGAAGCCTGGCTGGAAAGCCTGGCTGGAAGGACAGGGCCTCTCAGGGGTGCCTCCCGCTCCACAGGAAGGGGAAGGGGCTCCAAGACAACCCTCCCCAACACCCCCAGCAGAAAGCGGCAGGGGGCAGCATCCTGTCTCTGTGCCCCCTGCAAGCAGGCCTAGCCCCATCCGACCCTACAGCAGCCTTGGCGCCCACTGGGCACAGCAACCCAGCGAGCTTCCTGTGGTTCAGTGACACCGGGGGGAAACAGCTAGTTCGGGGGTCCTGCTGATGACCCCAACCGGGTGAGAGAGACTTGTGAACTAGGTTACAGGGCAGCCCACAAAATCATGGGGGGTCTTATGCACAAACTCCAAAACACTCTTAAAGTTTAAAGTCTCTTAGAGGTAGCGACTAGAGAAAAACCAAATGTAAATCATTTCGAATGTATATACTCCACCCAGTTCAGACTGTCCAATCTTCAAGCTGTTCATTAGATAAGAATGCTCATAAATTATAAGCACTTACTTTTACCAAAAAGACCATGGTGATACTGTTCACAGGCAGTGAAAATCAAGGTTTTCATTACAAATACCAAGTTATAAAACATCAAGAATTCTAACCATCAGGATTTTATTTCCTTCCTCACATGTCTTATGGAAAACTCAGAGCACTGGAGGGAAGAGGGAACTTGATAGTTTAGCAGAGTGCACGAATTCTGCAAAGGAATACCAGAAAATGCAAAACGTACATTAATTCATTCTCTAAAGTTAACATCGCTAATTACCAGACCATTTTTCTTTTATAAAAAATAAAGAGGAAATCTAAACGCTACCTAACAGCAAAACAGTTGAAATGCTCCCATCACAGGCAGCAAACAGTATACAAAACCAAAGACTAAAAAAACCTTCATATTTGTGTTCTTTCCAACAAGTCAAAAAACATACAATACATATTTCCAAGAGTCACTGCAGGGTGCGCAGTAAATGGGGCCTTTGAGTAAGGAATGCAACGCAGAAAAAAATTTCCCAGTCTGAAAAAGATTTTGAGTAAAAATAGAAAGTCATAAACTTGAGAAAGACCTAAGAATAAAACAGCAGGTCTGTTGCCAGCAATGCTAGAAAACATGCAAGAATCAGCCTTGTCTACATATTTTATAGATGAAAACATGGAGGCCAGAACATTTCCATGGCGAGTCAACTGTCATTGGCCAACAGCAATGTGCACTCAACACAAACCAATTTAGAAACCCTGATGACACACACAGCGGGTTAGTAACATGTTACATCAAAATACACTCTTTGCTCTTCCCAAATACCCCTCCATGTCCTCACCTTTTCTCCTCTCTATCTGGAATGTTCTCCATCCCCATCACCACCTTCTGAAATCCTACCAGCCAGTCCTTTAAGGCTCATTCCAAAGGCAACTTCCTCCACTGTTCAGCTTTCCTCAATTATTCCAGCTAGAAGAAACATATTCTAAAGTCCCGCAGTGAACTTTCTCTGCCATATTCAGAATCTATCATTTGTGTTCATTTCTTCTCCTCTACTCAACTGCAAACACTTTGGCAGCAATGACTGTATCAGTCTTTGCCCCCCAATCCTCCAGAAAATCAAGCGTCAATAAATGTATACAAAGTAAGTAAAAGGTGAGGAAGTGTTTCAGTTAAAGTTACCATAATTATTTATTTTAATATCAATATTGTAAGAGAAAATGCTTACTCTAAAGTGACAATAAATATTAACAGAAAAAACTATGTAATTTGTAGCACTGACCCTTGGTGGCCCAATAATCATGCCTGTCCACCTCGTCAGTGTCATGTCTTCGTCATCTTCCAGGCCCCAGCTAACCGTGCCGTCGCCTACTCCTTTTTGTCCTTCTTCAAGTTCTTCCAACAGGCGAAAATTACGAGGAACTTTCACGCCTATACAAAAGAATGTCAACATCAATGTCAAAAGCTCATAATTATAAGGGCTACACATATTCAAATTCAGCCTTTCCCAAATTAACCTTTAAAAATTATTTCCCCCAAAGACAAAATTCCCCTTAAAAAGCATTCTGCACCCAAAAATGCTGAATCTAAAAACCCTTCAAAATGAAAACGCTAAAGAAAGCACCGTTCCAAACATTAACAGCAGTACAGAACATGTATATAAATTCCTAAGCAATCAGTTTTAAACTGACATAAATCAATCATAAGGGAATCATCGTTAAGTGATTATTTTTCCATAAGTGAGATTCCTGTTCCTCAGCCAAAAACACGACATCGAATAAACAGGCGTGACCAGAAAGTCCATAAAAGCTCCATTTCATTAGCATGTACTCTCCAGTAATCTTCAAAGAAGAAAATTATGTTCCATCTGTAAAAACGCACTAAGAGGTACTATTTTGAGAATGCTGACCCCACCCTCGGTCCTGAGCCAGTCTGCTGGCTGCCTAATAACCAGGGGGCCCCGTCTCCCCCGTCAGGAGGCTGGAGGCTGGAGAGCCAGCCTCCTGGTGGATGTTTCCTAAGACACGTCCTTCTCATCTGGGCCCAACCCAGCAACAGTTTCACAATCCAACAGCCTTTCTCACACCTCCACTTCTTTAGACCTCCTTATTCTACTTATTTCTAAAATCTTACCACAGAAACGTTCCTCTCTGCCTAGAACCCCCAGCCTTTCACAGTCCCTACTCCCTCACTCTCACTGAACCTGGTCTCTGCCACCATTCTGACCTCCAACCCCTGGAACCAACCATGATTTGTGCACCTTATCACAACCTGTCCTAGGATCACTGGCCTGGCCTCTCCAGAGGATGGACCCTGTGGTTTTCCGTGTTCTCAACAGCATCTAGCATGAAACACCCTCCAGCCCAACTGCACAAGTTTTTAAAAAAATCAGGACCCTCTCCTTCTGGCTCTGGAACACCGCCTCTCTCCCTCCCTCCCTCCCTCTCACATGCAAGCACACACACAATCATGAGGCAGGAAAAAAAGTGACGCCTCTTTTAAAGCAACTGTCATTTTGTATAACTTATCTCTCTTGCTGAAACTAAAACATCTCTTTCAGTTACTAATTTGTAGTAATGCTTCTGGACAAATAATGGAAAGCCAATAAGTACTGTAACTTAAAAACACTAGCCACGGGGCTTCCCTGGTGGTGCAGTGGTTAAGAATCCGCCTGCCAATGCAGGGGACACGGGTTCGATCCCTGGTCCGGGAAGATCCCACATACCACAGAGCAACTAAGCCCGTGCGCCACGACTACTGAGCCTGTGAGCCACAACTACTGAAGCCCGTGCGCCTAGAGCCCGTGTTCCGCAACAAGAGAAGCCACCGCAATGAGAAGCCTGCGCACCACAATGAAGACCCAACGCAGCCAAAAATAAAATAAATTATATAAAAAAAACACTAGTCATTTTATGTACTGTGCTTCATAAAAAAGGCTTGAAAATCTTGGGCCACAGAAACATGGGGCTGTTATAAATCACAAAAACAAGAGTACTCATTATTACAACTACAATAACTAGTAATAACCATTTGTTCAGGGTACACTGTGTGCTATTTTAAATAAATTATCCCATTTGATCCTAAAAGCACTCATTTTACAGTTACAGAAACTGAAGTTTGGAAGAGTAAGTGACCTACCCAAGGTCACACAGTTACAAGCGGCAGATCCAGTATTAAAACCCAGTTTCTAGACCAAAGTCACTCTCTTAACCGGTGCGTTATACAGCGAGCCATCCCGGCAGCATCATGGGCGCTGCCCAAGGCCAGCTCCCAGTGCCGCTGCCTCCCAGACAGGGGCCCCAGCCCCGTTTTCTCATCTATAAAAGGGAGACCACGGTGGCTTCTGCTCCAAAGAACCACTGTGAAAATTAAACAAGGTAATCTATCTTAAACAGAATAAATGTTGACTATGACCAGTTTAGTGTCCATATTAAATAAAATTACAAAAAACTTCCATTCACCTCCATCTATGTTTTGGGAGAATTCAAGCTCTCTGTACAGTCCTGAAGGTTGGCCCCCAGGAAACAGTCCCCTGAGCTCTAAGTTTCTATGCACATAACACTGGGACAACTGCTCTTCCCTGCAGCTGCACAGTCAGAATCTCCACCATCTATTGCTACTGACTTGCTTTTTAAAGGCTTCTTAAAGGACCCCGATTACCCTTACATTATGAAGTCATTCCCGAAGAAAAATTCTAAATTTGTGTTGAATTTTGTTGCCTCCTTTTTATAAACAATTCAGTCAGGTGAGCTTTATGAGCATCCAAAACTACAAAGTAAACAATGTAAAAGTAATGCTTCTTTTTACATAAGTGCCATAAAAGTGATAAACCTAGTGACTGCTAAACTTTTCACCATTTCTCTATGCTGCATTTTGGGGAGACAGTTCTAAGATTAATGGATCAGTTATTGGCAATGTTAACATTTAAAAGATTATAGCAGCTAAGATTATATTGTTTTTAAAGTATAAGACTCAAAACGAACACCAGTGAGCTATATTTTTAAATTCAGGGCTAGAGTACTCTGGTTTTATTTCAACCAACCACTAATGTCTGTGAAGAGAAAACACCACGAGCTGGGGATGTTGGTCTGTGAGTGTTGCAGTGTGTACATAAGCTGCCCTCTGGATCTCCTGCCATGTCTGAGCCGCCTTCTATTAGTTCTGCTTGCCTTTTTCCTATGTGTGTATACGTGTGCATGTTGTTGTTATTACTGTTGTTGTTTAATAGTTTTAAATACTTTAATCCCTTAGTCTGGGATCTTCATTAAAAGAAAAAAAACCTCAGAGACCATCCAGTCCAAAACCTAACTCTTTAGAGAAAAGAAAGTTCTCACCAGGAAAAGTTAGGTGATAATCCTAAAGTCACTTAACTACCAGTTAGTTACCAAACCAAGTCAAAAACCCAAGTCTCCAGGCATCCACTAATCTAGTCTCCTCCTTACTACATTACAATGAACCTCCATTCATAAGACGTAAGACCCCAAATAATATTATTCAAAAGCAAAATGCTGAATGCAAACAACCTAGAAAACACGCTTCCAGTTTTTAATCTCAAGGCTATCCGATTCCTAATAATGTACCTTTAATTCCCACAATACCAAAAGTAACGGCGTAAACACTGCCAAATAAAAACTAGAATGAGTCTTGAAATGTTGTTTATTAGGAACATGGATTTCCTAATTATAACTCATAAATATGTTTACCTTTTTCAGTTATAAGGAAAAAAGCCCAAATAAAACCTTAAACAGTAATAAATCTGTCAATCTATCCACACAAACGTAAGAAATGACAGCAAAGCAAATTTAACATCACTTTGCAACCAACCATCTAAATTAAGAAAGCTCTGATAACACTAAAAAAAAAAAAAAAAAAGATGAGGTGGTATAGTTTTGAAGAAGGCCAGGTGAATTCCAGTTCTACACTCTGGGATGTAGAAAACCCAAAAATAAATAACTATGAACATTTCAGTGTTATTTCTTTTCAGATTACTTTCCATATATAGTAATATATGGTTTCTGTGTTTTTTCCCAAATGATATCATGACTCATAATTTTGTAACTTGCTCTTTTCCTCACTTACAAACATGTTTCTATATAAGCATAATCAAGTACCATTTTTAAATGTCCTGGCGAATAATATTAGTCATGCTGGGGAATGGGGTGGGCAGGACTTCACTGGACACCCTTTCACACTATTTGACCAGGTGAATCATCATCACCTACAGAAATGAAAGGAAAACCCCCATACAAACAGAATGAATTTCTTCCATCTTATCTGCTTTCCAGCCCTACGTAGCTGGTCCTCACGAACACCCGGCTCCCCGCACTACACGCCCAGAGTGGCGGTGGTAGGTTAGGGGAGGGAGTGTCGGGGCACCCAGCTTCCGGGCCGGCCAGGCTGCGTAACTGCCCCTGCAGAGTTCTCTTAGGCGCTTGGGCTTCTGTCACCCTTCGACACACCTGAGGAGGCACGCTGCTAAGATGGAACTCCTGAACAGACCCACTTGTAATCTGAGTGCTTGCTTCCCATCCCACTCTGGGAGTTCGGAGTCCCCGCAAACTCCCAGCAGACTGACTCAGTTAAAATGGACATATTTATTGAGCACCTCCTATGTGACAGACATTTGCTAAAAGCTTTACAGGCAGAAGCATTAAATTTTACCTTATGTTGTTTTAACATCACCATTTCACTAAGTAAGAAAATTAAGGCTTAAACTACTAGGTTGGGCCACATGAGTGAAACTGCCGAGGTTCAGGCATCTCTGTGATCAACAGAAAGTGATTTCGCAAGGTTCACCCTAACAACATGGAGAGTGAGTGGGGGAGGCGAGGAGGGAACAAGTCCCAAAGCCCAAGCTGCCCGCCATTACTCTCACTCCCTCCCCTCAGTCCCGGACAGCACGCACATCCCTGGCCCTGCAAATCTGATGGGAGGAGGAACACGTCATGACCAGCTGTGGGGGCAACTGCCAAAAATAAATCCTGCTCTGAACACTGGAAAAAAGAGCCTTTCCATATATCACACACCTGGGTGTGCGCGAAGGAAACTATTTCCCTACCCAGGGAAATAATATAACTGTCATTTTATATTTTTCAAAGTACTTTCCCATACAGTCATCTAACTGAAGAAGGGAAATATCTTTTGAGGTCTGATGGGCAGATATATCAACATTTTCACAAAGATCAAAGACATGAAGTAACTCACTCAGGATCATGGCAAGCCAGTAGCTGAGTCAAAAGTGAAATTCACATTTCTCAGCATGAGTACAACTGTTTCCATTACTGTATACTGCATACTTCAGAAAATAAAAAAGCAGGGAAACTTCAGAATGTGTACGACTTAAAACACATATTTTTCAAAATATACACATTGTTGAAATTCACTATATAAACAAAAACATCATAAAGAGTTTTAAAATTCAAGTCTAAGAA